GGATGGCACTGTCACTGGGGGGATGGCACGGTCCCCAGAGGGGGTGGCACCATCTGCAGGGGGATGGCACCATCCTTGGGGGGATGTCCCCATCACTGGGGGGATGGCACCGTCCCCAGGGGGGGTGGCACGGTCTCGAGAGGGGGATGTCATCGTCCCAGGGGGATGGCACCATCCCCAGAGGGGATGGCACCATCTTGGGTGGGATGTCACCATCACTGGGGGTATGTCCCCATCCCCAGAGGGGGTGGCACCATCCCCAGAAGGGTGTCACCATCACTGGAGGGATGGCACCATCACTGGGGGGATGTCACTGTCCCCAGGGGGGGTGGCACGGTCTCCAGAGGGGGATGTCATCGTCCCAGGGGGATGGCACCATCCCCAGAGGGGATGGCACCATCTTGGGTGGGATGTCACCATCACTGGGGGGATGTCACTGTCCCCAGGGGGGGTGGCACGGTCTCGAGAGGGGGATGTCATCGTCCCAGGGGGATGGCACCATCCCCAGAGGGGATGGCACCATCTTGGGTGAGATGTCACCATCCCTGGGGGGGTGTCACCCACCCCCGGGGGGGTGGCACCATCACTGGGGAGGATGTCATGGTCACCAGAGGGGGATGGCACCATCCTGAGGGGGATGGCACCATCTTGGGTGAGATGTCACCATCACTGGGGGGATGTCACTGTCCCCAGGGGGGGTGGCATGGTCTCCAGAGGCGGATGTCATCATCCCAGGGGGATGGCACCATCCTAGGGGGGATGTCACCATCACTGGGGGGATGGCACCGTCCCCAGGGAGGGATGGCACCTTCTCCAGGGGGATGGCACCATTCTGGGTGGGATGGCACTGTCCCCAGGGGGATGGCACCATTGCTGGGATGAGGATGACATTGTCCCACGGGGGGTGGCATGGTCTCCAGAGGTGGATGTCATTGTCCCAGGGGGATGGCACTATCACTGGGGGGATGGCACCATCACTGGGGAGGATGTCATGGTCACCAGAGGGGGATGGCACCATCCTGAGGGGGATGGCACCATCTCCAGGGGGATGGCACCATCTTGGGTGGGATGTCCCCATCACTGGGGAGATGTCACCGTCCCTAGAGGGGGTGGCACCATCCCCAAGAGTATGTCACCATCTCCAGGGGGATGGCACCATCCTGGGTGGGATGGCACCATCACTGGGGTGAGGATGTCACTGTCCCCGGGGGGGTGGCATGGTCTCCAGAGGGGGATGTCATCATCCCAGGAGGATGGCACTGTCACTGGGGGGATGGCACCATCCCCAGGGAGGGATGGCACCATCCTGGGTGGGATGTCACCATCACTGGGGGGATGTCCCCATCCTCAGAGGGGGTGGCACCATCTCCAGGGGGATGGCACCATCTTGGGTGGGATATCACTGTCCCCAGAGGGGGTGGCACCATCCCCAGAAGGATGTCACCATCTCCAGGGGGATGGCACCATCCTGGGTGGGTTGTCCCCATCCCTGGTGGGGGGGATGTCCCCATCACTTGGCACCATCCTGGGTGGGATGTCACCATCACTGGGGGTATGTCCCCATCCCCAGAGGGGGTGGCACCATCCCCAGAAGGGTGTCACCATCACTGGAGGGATGGCACCATCACTGGGGGGATGTCACTGTCCCCAGGGGGGGTGGCACGGTCTCCAGAGGGGGATGTCATCGTCCCAGGGGGATGGCACCATCCCCAGAGGGGATGGCACCATCTTGGGTGGGATGTCACCATCACTGGGGAGGATGTCATGGTCACCAGAGGAGGATGGCACCATCCTGAGGGGGATGGCACCGTCCCCAGGTAGGGATGGCACCGTCTCCATGGGGATGGCACCATCCTGTGGGGGATGTCACCATCACTGGGGGGGTGGCACCATCCTGGGTGGGATGGCACCATCACTTGGCTGAGGGTGGCACCCTCCCAGGGGAGGATGGGACCATCCCTGAGGGGATGTCCCCATCACTGGGGAGGATGTCATGGTCACCAGAGGGAGATGGCACCATCCTGAGGGGCTGGCACCATCTCCAGGGGGATGGCACCATCCCAGGGGGGAGGATGGCACCATCCTAGGGGGGATGTCACCATCACTGGGGGGATGGCACCGTCCCCAGGGAGGGATGGCACCTTCTCCAGGGGGATGGCACCATTCTGGGTGGGATGGCACTGTCCCCAGGGGGATGGCACCATTGCTGGGATGAGGATGACATTGTCCCACGGGGGGTGGCATGGTCTCCAGAGGTGGATGTCATTGTCCCAGGGGGATGGCACTATCACTGGGGGGATGGCACCATCACTGGGGAGGATGTCATGGTCACCAGAGGGGGATGGCACCATCCTGAGGGGGATGGCACCATCTCCAGGGGGATGGCACCATCTTGGGTGGGATGTCCCCATCACTGGGGAGATGTCACCGTCCCTAGAGGGGGTGGCACCATCCCCAAGAGTATGTCACCATCTCCAGGGGGATGGCACCATCCTGGGTGGGATGGCACCATCACTGGGGTGAGGATGTCACTGTCCCCGGGGGGGTGGCATGGTCTCCAGAGGGGGATGTCATCATCCCAGGAGGATGGCACTGTCACTGGGGGGATGGCACCATCCCCAGGGAGGGATGGCACCATCCTGGGTGGGATGTCACCATCACTGGGGGGATGTCCCCATCCTCAGAGGGGGTGGCACCATCTCCAGGGGGATGGCACCATCTTGGGTGGGATATCACTGTCCCCAGAGGGGGTGGCACCATCCCCAGAAGGATGTCACCATCTCCAGGGGGATGGCACCATCCTGGGTGGGTTGTCCCCATCCCTGGTGGGGGGGATGTCCCCATCACTGGGGGGATGTCCCTGTCCCCAGGGGTGGGGTGGGGGTGGGGTGGGCTCAGCAGAGCTGGAAGTAGAAGTCGAGGAGGTGGGTGGCATCGGGGTGGCGGGAGAGGCCCAGGGGCTGGTGCCCGCGGGCCGAGGTGCAGAGGAACCAGCCGGGGTTGGCGACGGACTCGAAGCGCCACAGCCCGTCCTTGTAGGAGCGGAAGAAGGTGAAGGCGGCCGAGGCCTCCCCGGCCCGGGGCAGCTCCCGGATGTCAGCGTCCTGCCACCAACCCCCCCCGGGACGTCACCACCCGCGGTGGCCACCTCCAGGGCAACCCCACCTGGCTCTGCCCTGCTCCACAGACCCACGGTGGCACCAGCCCCACCATGGCCCATCCCCGTGGTCCCCATCCCCATGGTGTCCCCTTGGTGTCCCCAGCCCCACAATGTCCCATCCCTGTGATCCCCTTGTTGGCCCCAGCCCCACAATGTCCCACCCCAGTGATCTCCATCCCTGTGGTCCCCATGGTGGCCCCACAATGTCCCACCCCAGTGATCTCCATCCCTGTGGTCCCCATGGTGGCCCCACAATGTCCCACCCCAGTGATCTCCATCCCTGTGGTCCCCATGGTGGCCCCACAATGTCCCACCCCAGTGATCTCCATCCCTGTGGTCCCCATGGTGGCCCCACAATGTCCCACCCCAGTGATCTCCATCCCTGTGGTCCCCATGGTGGCCCCACAATGTCCCACCCCAGTGATCTCCATCCCTGTGGTCCCCATGGTGGCCCCACAATGTCCCACCCCAGTGATCTCCATCCCTGTGGTCCCCATGGTGGCCCCACAATGTCCCACCCCAGTGATCTCCATCCCTGTGGTCCCCATGGTGGCCCCACAATGTCCCACCCCAGTGATCTCCATCCCTGTGGTCCCCATGGTGGCCCCACAATGTCCCACCCCAGTGATCTCCATCCCTGTGGTCCCCATGGTGGCCCCACAATGTCCCACCCCAGTGATCTCCATCCCTGTGGTCCCCATGGTGGCCCCACAATGTCCCACCCCAGTGATCTCCATCCCTGTGGTCCCCATGGTGGCCCCACAATGTCCCACCCCAGTGATCTCCATCCCTGTGGTCCCCATGGTGGCCCCACAATGTCCCACCCCAGTGATCTCCATCCCTGTGGTCCCCATGGTGGCCCCACAATGTCCCACCCCAGTGATCTCCATCCCTGTGGTCCCCATGGTGGCCCCACAATGTCCCACCCCAGTGATCTCCATCCCTGTGGTCCCCATGGTGGCCCCACAATGTCCCACCCCAGTGATCTCCATCCCTGTGGTCCCCATGGTGGCCCCACAATGTCCCACCCCAGTGATCTCCATCCCTGTGGTCCCCATGGTGGCCCCACAATGTCCCACCCCAGTGATCTCCATCCCTGTGGTCCCCATGGTGGCCCCACAATGTCCCACCCCAGTGATCTCCATCCCTGTGGTCCCCATGGTGGCCCCACAATGTCCCACCCCAGTGATCTCCATCCCTGTGGTCCCCATGGTGGCCCCACAATGTCCCACCCCAGTGATCTCCATCCCTGTGGTCCCCATGGTGGCCCCACAATGTCCCACCCCAGTGATCTCCATCCCTGTGGTCCCCATGGTGGCCCCACAATGTCCCACCCCAGTGATCTCCATCCCTGTGGTCCCCATGGTGGCCCCACAATGTCCCACCCCAGTGATCTCCATCCCTGTGGTCCCCATGGTGGCCCCACAATGTCCCACCCCAGTGATCTCCATCCCTGTGGTCCCCATGGTGGCCCCACAATGTCCCACCCCAGTGATCTCCATCCCTGTGGTCCCCATGGTGGCCCCACAATGTCCCACCCCAGTGATCTCCATCCCTGTGGTCCCCATGGTGGCCCCACAATGTCCCACCCCAGTGATCTCCATCCCTGTGGTCCCCATGGTGGCCCCACAATGTCCCACCCCAGTGATCTCCATCCCTGTGGTCCCCATGGTGGCCCCACAATGTCCCACCCCAGTGATCTCCATCCCTGTGGTCCCCATGGTGGCCCCACAATGTCCCACCCCAGTGATCTCCATCCCTGTGGTCCCCATGGTGGCCCCACAATGTCCCACCCCAGTGATCTCCATCCCTGTGGTCCCCATGGTGGCCCCACAATGTCCCACCCCAGTGATCTCCATCCCTGTGGTCCCCATGGTGGCCCCACAATGTCCCACCCCAGTGATCTCCATCCCTGTGGTCCCCATGGTGGCCCCACAATGTCCCACCCCAGTGATCTCCATCCCTGTGGTCCCCATGGTGGCCCCACAATGTCCCACCCCAGTGATCTCCATCCCTGTGGTCCCCATGGTGGCCCCACAATGTCCCACCCCAGTGATCTCCATCCCTGTGGTCCCCATGGTGGCCCCACAATGTCCCACCCCAGTGATCTCCATCCCTGTGGTCCCCATGGTGGCCCCACAATGTCCCACCCCAGTGATCTCCATCCCTGTGGTCCCCATGGTGGCCCCACAATGTCCCACCCCAGTGATCTCCATCCCTGTGGTCCCCATGGTGGCCCCACAATGTCCCACCCCAGTGATCTCCATCCCTGTGGTCCCCATGGTGGCCCCACAATGTCCCACCCCAGTGATCTCCATCCCTGTGGTCCCCATGGTGGCCCCACAATGTCCCACCCCAGTGATCTCCATCCCTGTGGTCCCCATGGTGGCCCCACAATGTCCCACCCCAGTGATCTCCATCCCTGTGGTCCCCATGGTGGCCCCACAATGTCCCACCCCAGTGATCTCCATCCCTGTGGTCCCCATGGTGGCCCCACAATGTCCCACCCCAGTGATCTCCATCCCTGTGGTCCCCATGGTGGCCCCACAATGTCCCACCCCAGTGATCTCCATCCCTGTGGTCCCCATGGTGGCCCCACAATGTCCCACCCCAGTGATCTCCATCCCTGTGGTCCCCATGGTGGCCCCACAATGTCCCACCCCAGTGATCTCCATCCCTGTGGTCCCCATGGTGGCCCCACAATGTCCCACCCCAGTGATCTCCATCCCTGTGGTCCCCATGGTGGCCCCACAATGTCCCACCCCAGTGATCTCCATCCCTGTGGTCCCCATGGTGGCCCCACAATGTCCCACCCCAGTGATCTCCATCCCTGTGGTCCCCATGGTGGCCCCACAATGTCCCACCCCAGTGATCTCCATCCCTGTGGTCCCCATGGTGGCCCCACAATGTCCCACCCCAGTGATCTCCATCCCTGTGGTCCCCATGGTGGCCCCACAATGTCCCACCCCAGTGATCTCCATCCCTGTGGTCCCCATGGTGGCCCCACAATGTCCCACCCCAGTGATCTCCATCCCTGTGGTCCCCATGGTGGCCCCACAATGTCCCACCCCAGTGATCTCCATCCCTGTGGTCCCCATGGTGGCCCCACAATGTCCCACCCCAGTGATCTCCATCCCTGTGGTCCCCATGGTGGCCCCACAATGTCCCACCCCAGTGATCTCCATCCCTGTGGTCCCCATGGTGGCCCCACAATGTCCCACCCCAGTGATCTCCATCCCTGTGGTCCCCATGGTGGCCCCACAATGTCCCACCCCAGTGATCTCCATCCCTGTGGTCCCCATGGTGGCCCCACAATGTCCCACCCCAGTGATCTCCATCCCTGTGGTCCCCATGGTGGCCCCACAATGTCCCACCCCAGTGATCTCCATCCCTGTGGTCCCCATGGTGGCCCCACAATGTCCCACCCCAGTGATCTCCATCCCTGTGGTCCCCATGGTGGCCCCACAATGTCCCACCCCAGTGATCTCCATCCCTGTGGTCCCCATGGTGGCCCCACAATGTCCCACCCCAGTGATCTCCATCCCTGTGGTCCCCATGGTGGCCCCACAATGTCCCACCCCAGTGATCTCCATCCCTGTGGTCCCCATGGTGGCCCCACAATGTCCCACCCCAGTGATCTCCATCCCTGTGGTCCCCATGGTGGCCCCACAATGTCCCACCCCAGTGATCTCCATCCCTGTGGTCCCCATGGTGGCCCCACAATGTCCCACCCCAGTGATCTCCATCCCTGTGGTCCCCATGGTGGCCCCAGCCCCACGATGTCCCATCCCCGTGGTCCCCATCCCCATGGCATCCCCGTGGTGTCCCTGTCCCCATGTCATCCCCATCCCTTTGGTCTCCCCGTAGCCCTCCCACTCCCATACCCTCCCCCATCCCTTTGTGTGTGTGTGGGGGGGGTCCCCACGGTGTGTCCATGTCCCCTCCCACCCCCATGTCCCCCCCAGTGTCCCCTGACCTGCAGCTGCAGGGTGGGCTGGCTGGCGGGGGGGCTGGCCAGGCAGCGGGACCGTTCTGGATGCCCAGGATGGCATCCCCGTGGTGTCCCTGTCCCCGCAGTGTCCCCATCCCCATGCTGTCCCCATCCCTTT